CAGTCACGCATTTGCTCTGAGTGGGGGAAATTATATAATATATACAGTTGAAGTCAGAATTATTAGCCCCCCTATTTATTTTTTTACCCAATTTCTGTTTAACAGAGAAAAGATTTTTTCAACACATTTCTAAACATAATAGTTTTAATAACTCATTTCTAATAACTGATTTACTTTATCTTTGCCATGATGACAGTAAATAATATTTTACTAGATATTTTTCAAGACATTTCTATACAGCTTAAAGTGACATTTAAAAGCTTAACTAGGTTAATTATCTTAACTCGGCAGGTTAGGGTAATTAGGCAAGGTATTGTATAATGACGGTTTGTTCTGTAGACTATCGAAAAAATTTTGTAGCTTATAGGGGCTAATAATTTTGACCTTAACATGGTTTAACAAATTAAAAACTGCTTTTATTTTAGCCGAAATAAACAAATAAGACTTTCTCTAGAAGAAATAATATCAGACATACTGTGAAAATTTCCTTGCTCTGTTAAACATCATTTAGGAAATATTTAATAAAGAAAAAATTATTCAGAAGGGCTAATAATTCTCACTTCCAAAATATATTTCAGATCGCAGCCTCTTGCAATTAGCTAATCGCAACGTTTCAAATCGCGATTGTAATTTTTATAAAAAAATATGTGAGCATATTTACTGTGCAAAACTTATCAGTGAGCTATGAGGGCACAAAAATAAAATAAATTGATAAAATAATCGTTCATTTATCGTAATCCAGTTAAAATGTTCAATTAATCGAGATTTTTATTTTAGGCCAAATCGCCGAGCCCTACCCCAAAATAATAATTCTGTCATCATTTATTCATCCTAAATGTGTTACAAATTGGTTTTAGTTTGACAAAAAGCTTGACCTCTATAGTTGTTTTTGTTCCTCCTATGGATGACGATGGCTGCTTTATTTCACCATTCTGCAGAATATCTTCCTTTGTGTTCAACAAAAGAATCTCAAAGTTTACAACAAATTGGGTATGAGCAAATGTTGAGGACATTTTTGTTAAAACATAGTTTTCCTTGTCTAAAAGACTTTAAAGTTTAATGTTTAAATGCTAAATACCTTAATTCAATGTATTATTCATTTACAGTATTTAACCCCAACAATGAGGTACATGCAATTAAATACTTTGATGAAAGGAGAGTGGTTGTAACCAAAAATATATATAATTAAATAGATATTTATAATTATTTAATAATCACTTTAACTAGTTTTCAATTATGTTCAATAAACTGGAACCCCTACTTTGTAAATAAACCAAAAAAAAAAAGGTTGTTAATCTAGTCAGTGACACAAACCGCTAATCAGTACTCGTAATCAGGTGTTCAATGTTCATTTCCAGCACTCCTGAACCCTAGATATCAGTAACAGTGACTCACTGTCAGCCAAATTAACGCAGTTTGTCAAGTGGATGACGTGTTGCAAAGCATTCAGCTTGTATAAAGACATCTGCTCATAACCATCATAGTCATCACAGTCACAAAAAACATCAAAAGAACAATTCATTTACATATGAATCATCCAGTGAATAGATTATGCAAACGGCATGCATAATAGTCAAATGTACCAACAAAAAAAAGGCTAAAGATCAACAAGTTCACATCAAAAACTATACTAGCCTTAACAAAATAAACATCTATACAGCTCTTAAAATGAGCGTATGTAATGAAATAACATGTGACTAAAATGGACAAAAAACTGTATAAGGTATGGCTTCTGAATCAGTCCAGAGGGAAAGAGACTATTTTAGATCACCAAACCAAATCATTTACATGAAATTCAAATGTAATCAAAAAAAAAAAAAAATCGCACTCATAGAAGCCAAGAAAACTTGGTCAAACTTTACAACAAGGTTTCATTCATTAATGGTAATGTATTAACAGTACCTAAACAGCATTCATTAATCATAGTTCAACATTTGCATTAATGCATTATTAACATCCAAAATTCTTGCTTAACATCCAAATTCCCGCTTGGTAACATTAGTTAATGCACCATGAGTTAACATGAACAACTTTATTTTCACTAACTAAAGTTACCCAATATGAACAGATAATGTAATACATATTGTATTGTATTGTTCAAGTTAATAAATACCTTACCTAACATTAACTAATACAACCTTATTTAAAAATTGATTCTGAAAATTGTGCAGTTTATTTTTTTCTGTAGGCGTCTTAAATTTGCTGTATACACTCACCGGCCTCTTTATTATGTACACCTTACTAGTTCTGGGTTGGACCGCCTTTTCCTTTCAGAACTGCCTTAATTCTGCGTGGCTTAGATTCAACAAGGTACTGGAAATATTTCTCAGAGATTCTGGCCCATATTGACATTTAAAGAATCGTGCAGTTGCTGCACATTTGTCGGCTGCATATCCATGATGTGAATCTCCCGTTCCACCACAACCCAAAGGTGCTCTATTGGATTGAGTTCTGGTGACTGTGAAGGCCAACTGAGTACAGTGAACTCAATGTCATGTATAAGAAACCAGTCTGAGAGGATTTGCGCTTCATGACATGGCGCGTCATCCTACTGGAAATGCCTCAAGGTTTGACGTTTTGTGCTTTCAGAGATGCTCTTCTGCATACTTCGGTTGTAACGAGTTTTTTTCAGTTACTGTAACCTCTCTATCAGCTATCAGAACCAGTCTGGCCATTCTCCTCTGACTTCTAGCATCAATAAGGCATTTATGCCCAAAGAATTGCCCTCACTGGATATTTTCACTTTTTTCGAACCATTCTCTGTAAACCTAGAGAAGATTGTGCGTGATAATCCCAGTAGATCAGCAGTTTCTGTAATACTTAAACCAGCACGTCTGGCACCAACAACCATGCCATGTTAAAGTCACTTAAATCACCTTTCTTTCCCATTCTGATGCTTGATTTGACCTGCAGTAGATCATCTTGACTATGTCTATATGCCTGAATTGAGTTGGTGCCATGTGATTGGATGTTTGCGTTAACGAGCAGTTGGACAGGTGTACCTAATAAAGTGGCCGGTGAGTGTATATAATGTATGCCACCATGTTAAAGGTTAAAACTGGGTTAGTAATAATTCATCTGATTCTGAGTAAAGCTAAATGAGATGCCAGACGCCACGGTAGGCATGTATCGCTGTTCATTACTGTCCTCTGTCTTTGTCAAAGGTTACAGTTTCTTTCTCATGTGTGTCAGCTAATTAAAAATGTATTATGTTGGCAATGCAAAGAGTCTGAAGGTAATATTTCAACGTACACAAAGACCTGTCTCTACCCTTGATCTTTCGTGAGGAGCAGTTGCGTTTGATTTAAATCTGGCTCTGAGCAGGAGGTCTTAATTGTTTAAGCCCGGTAAATCTGGATAAAGCCACCTGGATGTCCCTTAAAGATTAACAGCCAGCTCAATGCAATTAAACAGAGACGTCCGTGTGCTGGGTGGCCTTTTACTGGGGTAAAAATAAAATCATGCGTGTTTGTCTCTAGTCAAAACTCACTATAATTTAACTATAGTATATAGAGAATTTATACAATAGGTCTGCCCTCAATATAAATTTGACCAACTGGAATTCCGAGCGCGATATGAATATAACAAAAAGTGGGGCATTTAACGGTTTGTGAATTTGTTTTTTTTTATTTTGGCTTAACTGTGTTCAGAGTCTTTGTAGGCACTGCTGTTGGCAAAGTTGTGTGCATTTTTTTTCAGCAGTGAGTGGGTTTGTAAAATCCTAAAGCTTGAGCTTTTTTAACTTTATGGTCACTCAAATTAAGGTTTCTCTCATCGATGAGAGAATTTAAAACCAGGAATGGGTTTTCAGCTTGAATGCTTATGAAAATCTTATCAAACTCATACATTATTCAGGTTAAAGCCCAACAATATAGATCATCACTATCGCAATGTGTGCATCAATGTTGCATCGCAATGTTGACCAGGAACCACAGCTTAGAACACGTCATTAGTGGAGTCATTCATTGCAAAGTTTAAGTATAATCAAGAAAAAGTTTATAATTGTATGTGTTTTAGGTCCTGCGACTGTGTTAGCCTTACAAACAAATGTGTAGCTTAAACTAAGGATAATTGTATTTTTTTTTATTTACATGATGATGACGATTATACAGTGTTATTTTACATTTGATGGTTCAATTCATTTACCTGAAAATGGTTAGACCCCCCCCCCCCCCCCCAAAAAAAACACAAATGTTCATTTAATTTGTTTCTTTTCATCTTTTGCATTTATATGTGCTCGTGATTTCTGTTATATTTTATGCAGCATCATCCCATATACAAAATTTTAAAAAAGTTAATTCCATACAAATAAATTAAATTAATCTGGTGAAATTGTATTCATATTGTATATTAGAGGAAAATCAAAAAATCGTGATGTCTGTTTTTTTCAATATCGTGGAGGCTTTATTCAGGTTTTTATATTTAAAAAAATATATTAATTTTGATATCATATTTTGGTTTGGTTCATATACTTTAATAAATGACAAAAATAAATAGGGCTAATAATTCAGGGGGGCTAATCCTTCTGACTTCAATACACACACAAACAGAAAAACTAAAAATCAAAGGGGGGCTAATAATTCTGACTTCAACTGTATATGTATATGTGATTATTAAAATATGGGACAAAAGAAATAATGTGATAAGTACTTCCAGAACCAGTGGGCACAAATGCACTCTACTGTTATTAGTTTTAAAATAAGGTTTTGAAGCAATGTTAACAAATAAAAAAAACTTTTATATCAGCTTGTTGAAACTACTTTAGGTAAAAAAAAAAAAAACATAGCTAAAATGTAACAAATAAATAACGTTTTCAAAAATTCACATAGACAGATAACAACAACAAAAACACTCAAAACTTTCGAATATTTTTAAATTAAAAAATTATAAAAACTAATTCCAGTTCAAATTGTTATATGAAATTGCAATCATATATCAAATTACACACAAAACAAATGAAAAAGACGGAATAATAACAGTGTTGACATTATGAAGGGCACACTTACCGAGAAGACCGCGTTCTGCAGACCGAAAGGGATCGGCGTGAGTCTCGCCAAGGCCACAACTTTGAGTCCACTTCCACCCTCCACCACCCGGATAACAGCACTCAGCTGCTCACTGCTCCCTATCTTACTCAAAACCCAGTTCGTCAGCAACCGCTTGCACACCACATGTGCAATAAAAGTCCCGATCAGTACTCCGACCATCACCAGTCCCATGCCCAACACAAACCCATATAAATATCCCGCGGCCACGTTGAGCACAATATACCCCCATCCGCAGGGGAAAGAGACGGTGATCAAGCCCACAATGAAGAGCATGGCCCCCACGAGACTGTCCAAACTCTCCACCCACAGCAGCACATCCTTCAGGTACTGGCGCACTAGAGCCACTGACGAGAAGCACACGGCGGTCAGGACGCATGCCAGCAGGGCACTTTTAAAGCAACAGGTGGTAATGCAACACGGGTGTCTGAATTCGGGGGTGAAGGACGAGGCGGGCTCGGTCAAGCCCGCGGGGTCCGCATCTGTTTTGCCTCCGTTCGCTCTCTCGTCAAACACGTTACAGATCAAGATGTCGATCTTGTCGCAGTCAAGCGAGTCCGGGGTCCTCTGGAGCCAGCGGCTCAGCTGGATGTGCCCCTTCCCCGCGGCGTGCTTCAGGGCTTTCAGCACACCCTGCACTGGCCCCGAGCTCCACATATTCACCCCTTCTTCATATGATTTCACCCGACTGATCAATGGGACGTCCAGTCCAAAGCGCTGACCCTCGATTTCACACGTAGCAACCCTGAATAGTCCCAAACAGATTTACAGTCTAGTTTATCTGGGAAAAACCGATGTGGAGTCGTGCCACTTCAAGGACTTGAGATGCAAGCGTGTCGGCTGTGCTTCACTTCTCAACGCCATGCTCTCCTTCCCAACATCTGACGAGTGAAATCCCTTCAGGCGTGTTCAGATCGCTCCTGTCACCGGCGGATAAATCACACACACTCACACACACGCTCAACTTTCCCGAGCTCACTGCAGTGCTCCCATCCAGGCTCCAGTCCAAAGTCCCGCTGCTCGTCCGCCTCAGAGTGTCACATCTCTTGGCCCGGAGGACGACGACTGTGAAAGTGTCGGATTGACGGTCGGTGTCTTTGCTGGACGGGTTTGTTTACATGCGCACCGCGAGCTCTTGTCCACATCGGTGAGGGATGTTTACGCCAAGCGTTATTCATGCCACTGTTTGTTTCCCAGTATTCTGTGCGACGTCATCACGTGATCTCATCGGAGAGTATCGCGATAACACCACACGAGCGCTCTTGCAGTTCAGTGGTACATGAAGAAATCAAAATATTTTACTGATGAATTTATTGGTCGTTGTTTGTAATATGTCGAATCATAGTTAAATCAAATATTGCCCACGCACACACTCTTAAAAATAAGCTTCTTTATCGTCATTGGTTATTCCATCAAGAACATTTAATATTAATTTTACTTGAGGCTTTTTGTGTAAAATGTTTTTTTATTATTATTAAAATGTTCATTACACTACCAAAAGTAGTTCTTTTCAAAATATGTTCTTGAAGTTTTTTTTGACACACTAAAAATATTTGATACATTGCTGCAAAGCACAGTGGCGCAGTGCTCTCGCCTCAAAGCAAGAAGGTCGCTGGTTCGAGCCTCGGCCGAGTCAGTTGGCATTTCTGTGGGGAGTTTGCATGTTCTCCCTGTGTTGGCGTGGGTTTCCTCTGGGGGCTCCAGTTTCCACCACAGGCCACAGGTACAGGTGAATTGGGTAAGCTGAATTGTCTGTACTGTAAGTGTATGGGTGTTTCCCAGTGATGGGTTGCAGCTGGAAGGGTATCCGCTGGATAAGTTGGTGATTCATTCCTCTGTGGCAACCCGAGATAAATAAAGTGACTAAGCTGAAAAGAAAACAAATAAATAAATAGGCCTAAAAACAATTTGGAATTGGAACCTTAAGTGTAAATAAAAAACTGATAATAAAAACACTTCTTAAATATATATATATATAAACACTTTGGTTTTAAAGGAAACTTATGGTCCCATTGTGTCTCTAATGACAATTTGCTGTCTTCAATTTGTTAAATGTAACAAAAAAAATTGAGAAACAATTAAACCTAACTTGTTTTTAAAGGTCAAACATCCTTTTTTAAAACATTTTTAGCAGGGTATGATGTTATCATAGAGGCCAAGTACAAAAGTTTATGAATGGCACTCTCTTCTTTCTTTTGTTGTAAATTTTATTAATGTAAACAACAATTGAACCTATTTAAGCCCACCGGCAAACAATTGTTTCCAAAGTTCATATTGTCATTTTCTTCGTATAAGTATTTTTTTTTTTTTACATGTTATCTATGTTTCATTTCTTCATAACATTTGAGCAAACAATCAAAAAAAAGATTTTAAGAAATAAAAAATAAAAAAAGAAAAAGAAATAAAAAAGCCTTTCTCATGAGGCTTTCAACTTCCAACATTACCAACCCTAATAAAGGTAATCCCAAATAACGTGGGTTCTCGTGGGTTTCCTCTGGGTTCTCCATTTCCCCCACAGTCCAAAGACATGTGCTATATAGTAAAGGTACATAAAGGTTTATTTATATAGCACCTTTCATGGTCACAAAGTGCTGTACAATAAAAGAAAACTGAAAAAAGGTAAAAGAAAACAATAAAAGACAACATTAAAACAAAGTTAAAAAAATCCAAGAACAGAAACACCAATGTAAAACCAGCTCTCCAAAGCATACTGTTAATTAAAAGCTTGGCCAAAAAGATGTTTTTAAAAGCTTTTTAAAAAGTTAAACTGAACTTATAGGTGGATTGAGAACTCATAGGACACGGTGTAGGTGAACTGAATAAACTACATTGGCCGTAGTGTATGCATGTGTGTGAATGCGAGAGTGTATAGGTGTTTCCCAGTGCTGGGTTGTGGCTGGTAGGACATCCGCTGTATAAAACATATGCTGGATAAGTTGTCGGTTAATTTCGCTGTGGTGACCCAGATTTATAAAGGGATTAAGCTGAAAAAAATTAATAAATAATTTATAAGAATAACTTTTACATATTGTTACCTGAAAGTAGCCTTTTTGATACACAATTTGATGCACAGAAAAATCCTCAGAGTAAAACTAACTTCTCAGAGAGCATTTGGTCCCACTCCACAGAAAAGTAACACTGGAGCAGGGTTAAAGTGCCGATTGAACAGTAATGATAAAATGACTGAAGACAAACACAAAACTAAAACTTGTTGATTTCAGTCTCAGTATTAAGGCCCTGCTATTCACAAACCCACAGCTTTTTCTACATTGTTCGTCCACATAAAAAGGCAGTATCGAGTCACACAATCCAAAGTTTTTGAAAGTCTTGTCAAGGTGACGATTTCCAGACGTTCCAGGGTCTGTGTTTATTTAAAAAATGGAGGAGAAACTTTCTTTCATTTACAAAAATACCTGTATGTGGACATGGCCTTATGAACTCAACTGAATCAAAACACAACAAATCTCTCAAAATCTCAGCACATCAGGATCATAAAACAACTCCACAAACAGCACCAGCATCGTCACTTATTACTAACCTGTTTGACTTTATCTCTGTCAGATGTCTACAAAAGACCGTTGTGAGATTTTCTGAAAATACTTGTTTTGTTGGATGTCACCATTGTGGAGAGCAGTATTTACTTTACTTGGGCTCTTTGACTCATTTTTTATGTTCATTGTCTCTGTGACTGCTGTAACTTTGTAGTGTTAGACAAAATACTCTCTACTCTGAGGATATTGCTGTGTAGAGAAAAAGAAATTAAAATTGTTTAATTATTTTACAAATATCTGTAATAATTGAGTCTTTAGTATTTGCGGGGGTTTTCTCTGGGTACTCCGGTTTCCCCCACAGTCCAAAGACATGCGGTACAGGTGAATTGGGTAAGCTAAATTGGTTGTAGTGTATGTGTGTGAATGAGAGTGTATGGGTGTTTCCCAGTGATGAGTTGCAGCTGAAAGAGTATCCGCTGTGTAAAACATGTGCTGAATAAGTTGGAGGTTCATTCCGCTGTGGCGACCCCAGATTAATAAAGGGACTAAGCTGAAAAGAAAATGAATGAATGAATTGAATCTTTATGGGAAATGTTGTCCTCAAATTTTACATTGAAGGGTGCATACAACGTATACCATAACACAACATAATGACTGTATAATTGCAGCATATTCAAATATGATCAAACAAATAATAATAATAATTTGGTAATGGTTTATTATAGTTTTATGGATGTTTAAACTTTATTATTAGATTTGTAAAAGCACATTTCTGCCACATAAAGAAATATGCTTTGGTAAATCATAATTAAATAAAAATCATAATTATAACCTAAATAAATCTTAATATTAAAAACATTGTGATATTAGCAATTAATGTTTCTTCATTAAATTGAAATAAAAGTCATAAAATGACTAAAATTAATGAATGAATGATTTAATTTTATAATGAAAATAACATTTTCATTTTATACCTAATTTAGCAAATCTAATAGCTGCTATAATGATATTCTAATTTTGACTTTTGAATATCCTTTTAATCTAATGGTGCCTTAGTTCAATAACTTTTTAAAGACAGAATATTCAGCCTTCACATAGACACAGTACATACTGATTCTTGTGCACTGATATCATGACAACAGCAAATCTGCTCTGATATATTTAGAATCAGAACCAGATTCAAAGTCAACGCTTACTTAAACTCGGCTGCTGCCTATATCCCTGCTTTTATTTGAGGAAATGCATGTATAGTTTGCTTTGTAAATCTACTAAAACAGTGATAGGTTGACATATCTCTCTTTTCTTTTTGCATTAGTTAAACCTATTTATACAACAGTTCTGTCTGGTTCTTGAATCTGATTGGTTGACAGTAGTGTGATATTCTGCAATATCAGAAGTCCTACAGCCTCCTCACCCTTCTGTATTACTCTGCCCAAATAGAGTGACAGCAGATCAATAAACTTACTACAGTGTTAAATATTGCATCTGTTGGACAACATAATGTACGTTTGAGGCTTTTTAGGTGAGAATGTAGTTGTTTAGATTGCAACTATGCAGTTCATTTATAAGGATAGTGCCTACTTTAAATATTTATAATTTCAAAGATACAGCGCCATCCACAAGATGACGACAGAGACCATATAATAAGCCCTTACAGAAGAGAAAAAACCAGCCTGATCTCACGAGAAAACGTAAGTATTTTACGTTTTGCCAGTTTATGGGCTAAATCGTATGAGTTCAGTCGTACGAAATAGTACGATTTTAAAAAGAGATTTCTTGCTCTTCAGTGTTTGAACTTTCAGTAATGATTAAATCACACTGAACTGAGCTAAACTGAACTGAACTGAACTTAAACACTAAAACCTGAACCACACTGTTCCAGTTACTGAACCACACTGTTCCAGTTACTATGACCATTTATGTGAAGCTGCTTTGACACAATCTACATTGTAAAAGCGCTATACAAATAAAGCTGAATTGAAATTGAATTAAAAAGGAGGCGTGGCACCTGACCCCACCCCTAACCCCAACCGTCATTGGGGGATAAGCAAATCGTACTAAATTGTATGAATTAGATCGTACGAATTCATACGAATTAGCCACTAAATAAAAAAGTTACGAATTGCCGTGAGATTGTGTTGGAAAAACCCAGCGTAATTTTAAACT